ACTGCTATGCTGATGACACTCATCAGCATAGCACACTAAGTACTAAGTAATGACACACTAAGTAATGTTTATTTAACTAAGAAAATGTGACTGGGAAATGAATTTACATTTGATTAAAAAAAAAAAAAAAAAAAACTGCACACCACTGATATATATTTCTGAAAATATTGCAGCTACTCAGTTAAGGTGACAGTTTGAGATTTACCATTATTTGTACTTTAATAAAGAAGTATTTGTACCATTGTATTTGTGTAGAAAATGGTACAATAGGATTTGTTCACAGAATCAAAGCATCTGCTAAAAGACAAATAACAAATAGCTTTAATAAAGAAACTGCATAATTGAACTTTGTCTGAGGCAAAGAATTTATTATATTGTATGCCTTTCTTCTCACATAATAAAATAGTATCCACTCAAATTAATAAAGAAACTGCATAATTGAACTTTGTCTGAGGCAAAGAATTTATTATATTGTATGCCTTTCTTCTCACATAATAAAATAGTATCCACTCAAATTAATAAAGAAACTGCATAATTGAACTTTGTCTGAGGCAAAGAATTTATTATATTGTATGCCTTTCTTCTCACATAATAAAATAGTATCCATATCCTTATTTAATTCTATAAAAGAGGCTTATACAACAATGTGTTGTGTGCAGTCAGCGAAAGCTTTACCGTATCATGTGGCTAAACCAAGGCCGGTAAACAGGTTTGTTCCCATTTGCGCTGATGATGTTTGGAATTCATTCTTCACTAAACTTGATTCCTGAGTGCTATCTGTAGCTCTTGCTCATTTACCCAGTTACCAGGACAACCACGCTGGCCCTAGTAACTACGCTGGTTTCCATGGGAACTATTGCAGACTATTCTCTTCATTGTCAGTGACAGGAATTAGAAAACAGGAGAAAAATTGCCCAAGTGCCATGCACTCTTATAGAAACCTGTGAAGAGAGTTTAGCTACAGTATTGTGACAATTTTTCCCCATTTCAGTTTCTATTCACATTACGGCCCTCTTAAAAAGCTTAGTGAACTGCATACAGTATCACGGGTACATGATTATGCTTTTAAGGTAGCGTCTTTTTGGTCAAATTCTGTAAGGCAGCATTGCATTTTTACTTTAAGGAGAACTCAATTCCATAATGCATTATGCTAAGCACAACACAAACATTCTTGAAGTATGGTCTTGTTTAATAGCCGTTTTCTATGTGTGAAGTTTGTAAATAAGCTGTAGGTCACAATATATATATTTATATATAGACTATATATATATACATAGGGGATGGTGTGGTCAATTTCTTTGAGGAGTTTTTATATTTATGTCAACATTCACTTTTACTCCACAGTTCCTAATTAAAATGTATAGGCCTACTCCAATACATTTGCCCAAAGCATATTCGTTACTTACTACAAAATACAGTCGGAAGAACACAGACTGCAAGAAGGCAGGTTTGACGAATCACTGTTAGACTCAGAAGTTAGACTCCTAAAAACACCTTTGCTCATGTGCAAAAAAAGTGCTGGCACAACCGTTGATGATTTCAGTTTCCACTCAAATCGTGACTGGGGTGTGCGAATGTGACATACAGCATATAGTCTGTGATAATATGGTAAGTGTTATTTTAATGATGTGCGATCTGACAACTATATCACAAAAACACACACAGAGAGTGATTTAGCTAGTCTATTAAAAAACATTTAAACATTGTAGGCGGCAAAAATGCATCTGTATGTATTTTATATTTATATCATTTAACATAGTTAATATACATCACATGAGTGATGTTCTTCTCCAGATATCAGCATGATAACAAATGCAATCAAGTTTGCGTTCAGACAAGTTTTGGCACTTCAGATCTGTTCTGCTCTATGAACTGTCACATACTGTAATACACAATGTTGGGGAAGGTTACTTTTAAAAGTAATGCAATACAATATTGAGTTACTTCCTAAAAAAGTAACTAATTACTTTACTTAGTTACTTTTTTTGGAAAGTAATGTGTTACATTATTTTGAGTTACTTTTTAAATCTGGGCAGGGCTTGCTTGTTTGTTTTTAATATAAAAAGTTCTTCTTTTACAAATGTAAAAGCCCTTTTACAACAAAAGTGAAATGAACACACCTCATGCTGAAGGAAATGTAAATTCATGTCTGTACAATAGAGGGTGGAGCTCAAACAAATTGCATGAAGAATATGATGCAGAAGAAGAAAGTTCAACACTAATCAGCAATAACAAAAATTAAACAAATGTGTCATTTTTGCTTAGTATGGTTGAATTGGATCATTGAAGGCCAGTAGCAAAGACATTGGTTAATAAAATGGGATTAAATACATTTGTCTTATTTAACGTTTAATTATTGCAGGTTTGTATAATATTCTGAGTTTACATTTTACTCTTTATTCATTTTTAGGAATACTGAATCTGTTTTTGTGCAGGTGAGATGAGTAAATGCATGTTCATATTTAGTCTAGAACTACAGTAAGCAAAAAAAGAGCAAGTTCCTGCTAAAAGAGTTCACGGGTAATGTGGCGTCTTTTTCAAGATGTCTTTCCACCCGTGTGTTTCTGGATGTGGTTGCTTTCTGGCTCCTTCTGACAGTCATGATCGCTGTATCACATGCTTGGACTTAAAGCACACTGAATCAGCATTTGTGAATGAGTCGTGCTCTGATGACAGGATGTTGATCACTGCATCGGGTGATGAGCTAGGCTCTGGGGGGGGAAGACTCGGCTGCGTTGCCCCCTTCGAGGAAGGCGGCGTTGCCCGAGTCAGACCCAGAGCTGACTGCTATGCTTTCCCTGGCCACGAGAGTGTCGGGCTGCAGTGGAAGGCTCCACCGTTGCCCAAACACACAAGGCTGGATGATTGGTACAGGGGGTGCCTCACGCTGATCGCCAGCACCCATCCCCAGTGCCTTTCTTCCCGGAGGTGCATGAAGAAGTCACTAGGTCTTGGAGGGCACCTTATTCTGCTCGAAACAGGGCTAGTGCTTCTTCCATCCTCATAACCTCGACGGTGGAGCGGACCGCAGGTATGTGGATATCCTACCCCAGTTGAGCGCACTATTGCGATGCAGTTGTGCCTGCAAAGCGCTGCCGCCTGGCGGGGTAATCCACTTCTCCCATCCAGGGCCTGTAAGTTCTAGTCCACCCTGATGGCCAAGGCTTACAGAGCCGCTGGACAGGCCACTTCCGCCCTACACACTATGGCCTTTTTTTAGGTCAACCAGGCCAAGGTGCTGAAACAGCTGCACGGGGGTGGTTCTGACCCAGGCGTAATGCAGGAACTACACACAGCAACGGACTTCGCCCTACGGGTGACGAAAGTCACTGTGCGGTCCCTGGGTCAGGCAATGTCCACCATGGTGGTCTAGGAACGCAACCTATGGCTGGACCTAGCACATATGAGGGAGACCGAAAAATACAGATTTCTGGACTCCTCGATCTCCCAGGCTGGCCTCTTTGGCGATGCGGTTAAGAACTTTGCCTAACAGTTCTTGGCCGCACAGAAGCAGACGGAGGCCATAAGACACATCCTGCCCCAGCGGGCCGCCACTGCCTCTACATCGCCACCGGCTGCAGCTCCTCTGCCTGCTCATCACCGAGGGCGCCTGTCTCTGCCCCTGCCAAGCCTGTAAAGCATCAAGGCAAGCGGCGTTCCTTGACTATGGACGTTCAAGTTTCAACTACGGGCAGGGGTTCCCCTACTTCAAGTGTCCAGGCATGTTGTTGTCTCAACAGATGCCTCTGCCATCGGCTGGGGTGCCATGTTCAACAGGCATGCAGAATTGGGCTCCTGGACAGGACCTCGACTACAGTGGCACATCACTGGCTAGCGGTATGGCTTGCTCCGCGCCGCTTCAAATTGCTGCTACACAACAAGCACGTACTGGTCAACACTGGTCGTACTGGTCAACACGAACAACACTGCGGCCATTGCATACATCAACCATCAGGGTGGTCTCACCGAGAGGACCCTGGAGATGCCCAGTCGGGGTTGTGCTTTCTTTTCTGCAGGAAGGGTTGGAGCAAAGGCTGTCTCCCTCCACCCTGAAAGTGTATGCTGCTGCTATCGCTGCACATCACAATGCAGTGGACGGTAAAGATAGTGGAGACAATGAACTGCAGACAGTGGAGCTCAAATTTCTGTCGCTCGCCCACTGGATAGTGGATGCCTTAGTCCTGGCTTATCAGGCTCAGGACCAGCCATGCCCATGCATAACTAATTAAGTTAACGCGTTAAACTGACAGCCCTAATATATATGTATATATATATATATAATTTAGATATCATGAAATAAAATTTCTCATATCGTTTTCATGTAACGCCACAATTCGTCGGTTCGTTCTGATGTGATGTCAAACGTGACCGACTGAAAGGGAATGTCTCAGTCACATATGTAACGAATGACGTATGAACGGAGATGCCACGTCCTGTCACAGTTGCTGTATCACCGCTGAACGGCCGGGAGACACTGTCTCGGCTCCTAATCAAAAAACTTAATGTGCAATTGCACACGCTCTTCCTGATATACCTGCAATGCGGGTCGGGGTGTGTGACATAAAGCTCACACGCCAGTGGGCATTGGCTCGTTTTGTTACACTCAAAGGTTATAGGGCTCTCAGGCAAAATCCCAATTCGTCAGTTCGTTCTGATGTGACGTCTTCGTTCCCTCCTTATATATACCCTTATGTTACTTATTTGAAAAAGTAAGTCAGATATTTCCTTCTAAATTAAAAAATGTATGTGTTACTTTACTAGTAACTTAAAGTAATCTGATTGTTACTCGCATTACTTGTAATGCATTACCCCCAACACTGTTAATACAACTGAATGCCCACATAAAGCTGTTCCCATTTACATAGTTTCTGTTGTCATACATAAAACAATTATAAATAGTGGCTAAACACGACCCATTGATACTACATGTTAACCAGGAGTCACTCACTTTACTCCTTAAATCCTGATTTATAATTGCAACATTATTTGATAAAATCAACATACATCTACACTAAAGAGCGGCTGTATCTGGTGGTTTTGGCTATATTACTTTTTTGTCTCATGCAGCACACTGCCTGCATCTGAGTAACAAACGATGTGCATATTAACAGATAGCTATGTTCGTATTTATAATTCAAAACAGTGCTGCTTCTCTGCTGCTCACTGCATATAATAGACGCAGAGAGAGATGATACTGTGCCAGAAAAGTCATACCTCGCTCTCGCGGACCAATACTGGCGACATCGTCCAGCTGAATGACAGCTAAGGTTTATCCAAAAAAGTCGCTAGGTTTGTCAGTTTGTAAGGAAAAAGCCACCAAAAAAGATCTGAAAGTTGCTAAATATAGTGCTAAAGTCACGCTTGTGTGTGTGAGACATGGGAGCTGATGGCAGGGGGTGGTGGATAATTGTGGCGGTCAATGTGTCACTTCCTGGGTTTGTGACATCACAAACCCTGAAATTTTACATAAACCCTGCCCCCAGCAACGCGCATCAGAGGGGGTGGGGCTGTGTTGTAGTAGAGTTTTGTTGACTCTATCTGCACAAGTTCAATGCCGGATTTGACCATAAGCTTGTCCTCAAAGATGGAGCAGTTCAAACTATAAAAGCAGAAGCTATTTTTATGGGCCACTACCTGTAAGTAAGTTACTTACTCATACTTTGTTGATGTGTTTTCCTTAAATAGTTTCTATCGTTAATTTTATGTTGTAGTATGGATAAAGCTTTAGTATGGATAAAACCGTATATCAAAAGACAACATAAACAGCAGTAGCATTTACAAATAACAGCTATCTAAAAAATATATGAGGTAACTACAAAAAAAAAAACACATTCTGAAATGTCCTGTAAGAGTCGTGCTTGCATAGGTTCTGCTCGATCCTCTTCAATAATATTTTCTGGGTCTTACTCAGGCTCAAATTTATAAGGCAGTATTGACGCCATTGTTTACAATACACAGGGACCACATGCAACTACCCATTATGGTAAGTGGCATGGGTTTCCGGATAACATACATTAGGCAGTTAGCGAATCACAACACACTGGGCCAGCTAACCAATCTGAGCCCATAGTAAATTTCTGAAGGAGGAACCAGAAAGTCAACAGATAGTTTTTAGGTGAATGGAAAAGTGGTGTAGAATAAAGGTAAAATATGTGAAATATAATTTGATGTTTTAAAAACGAAGCATGAACACGTTACAGTGCATCCCATAAACACAATCAAGCCTTCGAGAAAAGCTGGTAGACCACCCCTTTAACACTGACTTGATGTCATCTGGCTGTTTTAATTTCACATTTCAACTATTTTTATATGTTTCAAATAATTTCAAATATCAATATTCAACGTTTTATGTTTCAAACAAATCATTATTTATGCATTTTTAACTGCAGGTTAAATGCATGCATGTCCACTCTGAGCTACATTAAACTGTGTAAATAAATCTAAAAGCCACTTCAGATGTAGGTTCCAGTTTTCTTATGTTGGAATGAAAGAGACTAAGTACCGGATGAAGTGCCTCTTATGCTTACCCAGAGATGTAAAATGGAAGAAAGAGTTAAAACGGAACACAATCTTGCTGCTCAAACTGAGTATAAGCATTTATTGAATAGGCCTATATATTTGTTTGCTCCTTTTCCCTTTTGCATTTAATTGCACTTTTACTTTCAATACTTAAGTACTGTAACAGATCGGCCAGGCTCCGCCACCACCCAATCACAACGATCCCTCTCACCTGAGTTCTGAGCACCTGCACCTGTCACTAATCGAGCACCTCATCATCCAGCCTGCATAAGAGCACACACCTCAGACACCCTCATTGTCCGGTCTCGTATACACGTAGAGGACGCAATGATTTTGCTACTACTTCCATGTGAATACTTCCTGCCTTACTTACCGCCTGTGTTCCTCCTAGTGTCTCTTCGTCTCCAAGTGTCTCCTGTTCCTCCTAGTTCCCGGATCGCTGAGGTGTGTGCTCCTCCTGCCTGCATCCCAGCGCCTTTAAAGCCAAAGGACTCGGATTACCCCACGCATCATATCCTTTGAACGATTCTACAAACGACTCACTCACCATCCCATCCTCTGGACCCTACCCCTGTACTCTCTGTGACCAAATAAACCAGTTTTATATATACTAACCTGTTGCGTCAGACCTCTTCCGTTACAAGTACGTTTAATAAAAAAAAAAAAAAACTTTTCATAAGTACAATAAATATCACATACTTTAAAACTTTTACTCAAATAATATATAATAGTATTATAAATTATATAGTATTATATATAATACAAAGTAATTTTCTGGTAAGATGTCTGTATAATTTTACTTAAGTGTGGCTTTCTGGTACTTCATCCATCCACTACTTAAGTACATCTTTCTTTGTGATTTATGTAATTACATAAGTTGTCTTTGAAATATGTGTACTGCTAAAATGTACCGGAAAACATTTATGGTAAACTAATTTTGGTAAATATTAAATGTCATTTCTATAGAAACTTGTATGTCATGTATCTCAAAATATTTGTAATTACACTTTTGTAGTAATGAAGTTGAAATTTAGTCGGTTGCAAATGGGAATGATTTAATTAATTAGCAAAAAAATTAAAATAATTTGATCACAAAGCAATGTAATTTCCAGACATGGAAATTAATTTATTAATATATGAGGGAACCTAGCCATTTTTCAATTTATTGGTAATTTATATGTGAACAATGAAAGATTTCACATTTGAATTCATACCCGTCTGTCAAAAACTGATGACAGCGTGCATAATGTCAATAATGTCAGCTCCCAAAAACTTTTTCTTTTGTTTTTATATTGTATGCAATGAAATTAACATTTTCCCACACAAAAACAAGCACAGACTGTCAAAATCCTGAAAAAATAAAATACAAATCCTTGCAGAAAATGTCTGTCAAAATTCTGCAGGCTTCTTAGGAACTAATGGGAAAGTGTGCAACCAAATTTTTCATTTCGTGTTACAGTAGCTCTTGACCTTAGTAATCCCATCTTTTTCTGAAAAAAGAAAGAGAAATAAAATGGCATACGAGGATAGGGAAAGCTCCAATTATTGTGCAGATGAATGTATCATGTGACACTTTAGTATGGCTTAGCTATTTTGGGAATGATATACCCACCGTCTTCATTAAGTGGCTGCCATTTAAATCAGTGGGCGCTAAAATGGATTGGCAACAGATGGTGAAAGGATATGACTTAACACAGTTGCTTAGTAACACAATCAGCCTCTGAAATGAGAGCCGATTGCTCCTTTGCGTTTTTCAATGGAAGGTGAGAGTACAATTGGTTGCCATCATGCACAAGAAGCTTGTCTGAATTGAACCCTCTGGCATGTGTATGTAGTACAATACTGTTGCTACATAGTTGTATTAATTTTCTGAGTTCTAATTTTCTAAACACAAAGTAAAAAATATATATATATTTTTAGGATCACGCTATAGTTAGGCATAATACATCATATCAATTTTTTTTATTAATATTTTGTAATATTCTCATAATTATTATTTGAGTGTTGAAATGGTTGGCATTCTGCACTGTGCAAGATGACCAGCAGATTGCGCCATACACAAAGAATTTGAAACGATACATGGGCATGTCCATTTTGCATCATAGGGTAGATATTTACACTCTCTTTACATAACAAAATAAACCATTTGAATGCAGAGAGGGCTTATTATACACAATGTAACAAATTTGTTTTAGTTTAATTTTTTATGGTTCTGTTACTCTTATTACTGTACTATTTATTATCATGTAACATCAATGATTTGGTAAACATTTAGGTCAGCTTCTAGCATTAATTATGAAACATTGGTTTATACAGTTAGCCTACGTTTTTGAAACTAATTTTGCCTGTTTTTAAATATAGTTTCCTTTTGCAAGGATGGGAACATTCTAGAAGTTTCTGTAACATTCTGGAATATTCTGAAATGTTCTAGTGCTTTCTGGAACATTCTAGAACATTGTGGGTCTAGTCATAAATTTTTATGTATGAGTAATACTAGCTTAGTATAAGTTGTCAACATACTGTTAATGATACACAAAAAGTAATGAGATTTTCATATTCAACATGTCAAACCTCATAAAGAAACTATTAAACAGCCTGAATAAACAATAAACCCTTTGACTATTTCATGAAATAAATTGTTATATCAGTTCTTCTACCGTTTTGCCTGAATCCAGTAAAGCATGTGGTATAACACGAGTCATGCACACAGCCATGCACAGAACCTGTTTGGTGCTGTTCCCAAACCAGGCTGTTGTGATGTTTCCTGTCAAGATGATCTGGTGCAGGTGTAAATGTTTTTTTAGCACCTTTGAGGGCAGTTTAAGCGCCTAAGGGTGGTAAAGACACTGACACTGTCTTTTGTCCCGAATATGCAGTTTGTTCGAGTTCATTCAGTGTAACAGGTGCACTGCGAAGTGCAGAAGACAAATGCAAAAAAATAGCTGTAACCCACACAACTGAGATCACTGCAGCTACCAACGGCATCTTGGAAGTTTGTGATAAACATCGGCGCATTTTCTTTGATGTAGGAGTTAGCGACGATGTATGATGATGTGTAACGGTGTAGTAGTGGTGTCCCATTTCTTAATATTTTCAGCCCTACCCCTTGACACTCAAGGGGAAGGGGTAGGCGTAGGGGTAGGGGTAGGGGTAGGGGTAGGGGAAGGGGTATAAAATAGAATTGGGATTGGGCCTAAGCATATATTAAATAATTAAGACATCACTAACAGGTGAAGTAAAATATAATAAGTATATAGTCTAATATTTCGCAAAATGCTCATCTGTAGACTTAATTTCTCTAGTGAACTAACGAGCTGTGGACACTGATGACTTGCCTGAGGTAATGAAATGTTACGTGACATTTTGTTTTGACGTCTTTACGCGGTTGAAACACTGATTGAGCAATTACATGAGGCATGAGATGTTCATTCATGTTTATTTCGCATTAAAACTAGTAGTAAAGAGCAAGGGATGATCACGCTCACTCGCGTGCCGTGCTGCCATTTGAACTGAGGATTTTATACAGCAATCTGTGACGCCACATCAAAGAGTGCCAAAACAGCATTTATTGTTTGAATATCCTGAAAAAAATTACATAATTTGAAAGATGAGACTTTGTTCTTATCAAAAGTAACAATACATAAAACTGGAAGTTTCCAATGAAGTTCCACTCATGCAGTGGTTAAAA